GACGGCAATGGGGCGGCGAGGGGACGGCGATGGGGCGGCGAGGGGGCGACAGAGTGCTTCGCGGCGAGGGAGCGGCTTGCAATTATAAATTGGGGAAAGTTGCATCTGCCAAGTCAGCAAGGAGACTAGTCAAAACCACCTAAATCTGGTGCAAAACCACCATGGGGGAGAATTGATCCGGTTTTGGAGAGTTTAGGGGCTGATTGATCCGGTTTTAGACTTTGGGGGGAAATTGGTCCATCAGACAGGATTTGAGGGGGAAAACGATACTTTCCTCTTTCCGTTCTCAGGTTCTGGATGGGCTGAAGCGCCACTTCAAGGTCCGAGCCATAGGGCCGTGCGTTCCTCTGCCGGCCGCCGATGATTCCGGGGACGTCGACCGCTTCACCTACGGCGCCAACCTGCTCGACCCGGAGGACACCTGCATCAAGTGGCTGGACGCCAAGCCTCCCCGCTCCGTCGCCTACGTCTCCTTCGGCAGCAACGCGTCCATCGGCGCCGCCCAGATGGAGGAGCTGTCCCGCGGCCTCCTCGCCGCCGGCAAGCCGTTCGTGTGGGTCGTCAGGGCCAGCGAGGAGGCGCAGCTCCCGCGCCACCTCCTGGACGAAGCGACGGCGTCGGACGACGCGCTCATCGTGCGCTGGAGCCCGCAGCTGGACGTCCTGGTGCACCGCGCCGTGGGCTGCTTCGTCACGCACTGCGGCTGGAACTCCACGCTGGAGGCGCTCGGCTTCGGGGTGCCGATGGCGGCGCTGCCGCTGTGGACCGACCAGCCGATCAACGCCCGCCTCATCGAGGAGGCGTGGGGCGCCGGCGTGCGCGCGCGCCGCGACGCGTCCGCGGGGGTGTTCCCGCGCGGCGAGATCGAGCAATGCGTGCGCGCCGTCATGGAAGACGAGGGCGGCAGGGCGGCTTCCGCCCGCGCGGCGGCACGGCATCTGAGAGACGCGGCGCCCACGGTGCTCGCGCCCGGCGGAGCCTCCGACAAGAAACTGGGAGGGTTCTTGGAGTTGGCGTGCGACGTCATGGACGATGGCGCCACCAGGTCCGAACCTTCCCCGCGCGAGGCGGCACGTCGGTGGAGCGAGGCTGCGCGCGCCGCGGTAGCCCCCGGCGGCAGCTCCGACCAGAACCTGGACGAGTTCGTGGACTATCTGCGGGCTAGCTCTGTCGCGTGAGTCTTGTAATCAAACATGTGGTCGATGATCTGTACTGTTGTAGTCTGCGTCGTTTGTGTCGCTGTTATCTGCGGGCTAGCTCTGTCGCGTGAGTCTTGTAATCAAACATGTGGTCGATGATCTGTACTGTTGTAATCAAATATGAGGACGCCGGCGAAGCCGCGCGCGCCCCAGGGATGGTGGCGGCGGGGCTCCTTTGCGTCTGCGCTCGCTTGCTAGTCGCCGTGAGATCCGGTACGACGGGCCTCTTCGCGGGCGTCGGGGAGTAGATCCGGGGCTGCCCATCCCGGATCCGGCGCGTGGTGGTGCGGGGCTGGCGGCGGCGCGTGTCCTACGTGCGATGGTCTTCCTGCTGGTCCGGTCGCCCGCGGAGAGCTGGGAGCGAGGAGGAAACGGGCTGTGGGCCATGGCGTCTTGCCGCGGTGGTGGTGAGCCGGTGACGAGGGGTTGCTGCACGGAGGCTGCTCCAGCGGCGCGGATCTGGAGAGCATACTAGCGTGGGGTTCTCGGGTGCCGGAGCGGTGGCCCCGGACTTCTTCTTCGGTGACGGCGGCCATGGTGGCTGCGTGGGCAGCGCCACGACTGGAGCTCGGGGACATCGGTGCTCTGCGGCTATGTGTCGGCCCTCGGTTGTGCCGGGGACGCTTGGTGCCGGCCGGTGGGTTGGCTGTTGCCGTTGTGCGGCCGCCGGATCTGACCAGACGTGGCTGGTTCTGGCTCCTACGGTGGTGTTGGGGTAGCCTTGTCAGCGGCTCTGCACGGAGCAGGTGGCCGCGGTGGGACTACTCTGATCGGTGGCTCCGGGCTCTGGTGGCGGGTGGCGGTTCAGGCGGGTGGTGGCTCTCGTGTGTCGGTTCGAGGGGAGGGCTTCCTTTGGCTGCTCGGGGCGAAAGCCTTGCTCTGGCCTTGGTCTAAGCCGATGATGGCGACGCTTGTGAGCGCTACACCTTTTTGGAGGCGTCATCGTTCAAGGGCCTACGACCTCTTCTCTCACACTCCGGGGGAAACCCTTGTTCCAGGTTCCTGGGCGGACGGTGACGGCGCTCCGGTGTCGTGGTCCTTCTTGGAGGCATCATTTTGGAGTGGTCTTGGCCGGGGAGAGCCATCGGCTCGGGTGGTGCGCGGCCTCGGGGCCGGTGTGGAAGTCGGAGCGGCGGCTCCGGATCTCATCGTCATGAAGGGGTGTCGGCACTGGTCACGTGGGTGGCAGTGTCGTTGGCCAGTCTGGTGCGCGGCCTCGGGGTCAGCGTGGATGTCGGAGCGATGGCTCCGGATATAGTTGTTGGGTGTCGTCTTTGGTTGCTTGGGTGACGAAGCTGGCGGCTCGTCTGGTATGCAGCCTCGGGGTCGGTGTGTGTGGTTTTCATCTGTACGTCAGAGCGGCGGCTCCGGAGATGGTTGTAGGGTGTCGGCTCCGGTTGCTTGGGCGGCAGAGTGGGCGGCTCGTCTGGTGCGTGGCCTCGTGGTCGGCGTGGATGCCGAAGCGGCGGCTTCGGTTTTGGTTGTAGGGTGTCGGCTACGGTTTGCTTGGGTGACGGAGCCGGCGGCTCGGCTGGTGTGCAGCCCCGGGGTCGGCGTGTGTTCATGATGCCCTGTTGGGTGAGTGTTGTAACGGTTTTCGTCCGGGTTTTCGTTAATTAACTGGGCATCTCTCCTCTTAATCATTGAAAGTGGCAAATCTTTTGCCCTGCTTCAAAAAGAAAAAAAACAATTCATGCCAGCATATCTGAGTTCGTTTATTTTGAGTCAGCGATTGGGAGCTCAGGTGGCCTTCACGAACACTGATCTTTTGTTTGTGTGTGTGCGCGCGTGTGGGGCTCTGATCAGCCAACTTTGTTTTTCAGTATCTATTATTTGGACACCCATAATTGCCGCACGTTCGGTCTGTGGAGGCACCAGACCGAACGAATTGTTCGGTAGGATCGTTTCCCAGAGCAGTTCGATCGAACCAACCCCCAGAAAAATATAGGGTGAAAATACGGCAACCATGGTCCCTCATGAAAAGGAAAAATTCACATCAAACAGATGAAAAGTAAAAATTTGCAATCAATGTCAATTTTCCATAGAAAATAAAAAGTAAATTTCCATGGTTCATAAAGTAAAGTTGCCATGGCAAGAATGAAAAGTGAATTTGCCATGTACTCCCTCTATTCCAAAATAGATGACCCAACTTTGTACTAAAGATAGTACAAAGTTGGATCATCTATTTTGGAACGGAGGGAGTATGTTGGACTAAAATTGCCGTCTATCACTTTTCTCCCAAAATTTCAAGTCGTCCCTGGCTTTATGGCGCTCCAACCCACCCACCCACCCCTAAACCCTAGCTCTCCGGCGATCTCCACTTCTCACCAATAATTTGGTGATTCAATCCACTCATCTTGTTCGGCGCATCAAGATCTCTCTCCTTGTGTCCTTGGAGATGGATCCCTCGATTGGATCTACCCTTGGCTTGGATTTCTCCAAGGGTAGAGTTTTTGCTGATGAGATCTACAAGGCTTCTGGTCTCACCGTTCACCCTATGGCTGATAGAGGGGCTTTCACCCTGGTGGTTTCTTTCAGCGGGCATGACTTCAGGCTTACCGAGGATTCTGTGGCCGCGGCGCTTGAATCTGCATTGGGAGGATCGGCCATTGATCTATGGGTTTCATGCATTGCCGACAAGGTATTTAGTTTTAATGTCTCATGCAAGGATGTTGGTTTTTACATTGTTGATACTAGATCCTTTTCTTGCCCACAATTCAAATGCTATTTTCATTTGTGGGGTAATGGGGGTCCGAATTGGTATCGCGAGTTCAAAGTTTGGAAGAAAGAATGTGATGCTGAATGGATTTTGGTTAGTCCCTCTAAATGAAGGGCGGCCTTGGGACTTCTTGCAATGCATAATCCTCCTGCTAAGTCAGCCATTAAGTCTGGATCCACTATTCAGAAGAATTTATCTTTTGCTATGTTTCAAAATTATGATGTGTGCAAAGGGTATAGATATCATGCGTCTGCTGATTGCATTGCTGCCACTAAAAGTGCTGGTTATGAGATCCCTGATAGGGAGCGTGTGATTATTCATCCACCACCGCCGGTTGATCTTTATTGGACTCTGGCTTCGCCGCCGATCATTTTTGGCATGGTGAGCACGTCGGTGATCCAACAACGTTCAACTTTGGAGGGTTCTGCCTCGGAAATCGCGCCGGCTTGTTCGGGCTGGAATCCGGGCTCTTCGAACTAGCCTTGTTTGGGCCCATCTTTGCCCAACCCATCCATGCCTAGTTCTTCTCAAGCAGAGGCTTCTTTTGAACAAATGATTAATGACATGGTCGATGAAATTGTTACGTGTCAGCTATGTTTCAAGCAAGGGCATTTTTCTTCTGCTTGCACGTCAACTTTAAAGTGCTTGGGTTGCTCTCGGGTCGGTCATACGAGGCGTGATTGCACCCGTTTGGCTCAGCGTTTGGGTTTGGTTTGGAAACCCAAACCCGTTGTCGTTCCAGTTTCCGAGGTTCAAGCTACAGGGGCGGGAATATCTCTCTGACAGAATATCTACCAAACTTGGACTCCTCTGCTTTGATTGCATCGTCCACATCGCCCAATTCCATCCACCTTGGCCCCTCGAATCCTCCGGGCTCTCCTTCGGTGACACCACCACTGCCCCTAGAGCCACCATCGCCGCCGCCTGCCATGGCTAACTTTCATCTGGACCCAATGCAGTATGTTCCTCCTGGTCATCATATCATTGATGCTGGAGATGCGCGGTGGCCGCACATATGTGACGCCACACGTACCCATTGTGCGCCGCCATGAGGATTACATGCTTGCTGAAGTGATGCCATTGCCGGAGGCCAATGAGATTGGAGCTGCCCGCGAGGAAGTGGCTGGCTGGCTGGATGCCCATGGCTATCAGGTTCGTTCTGTTCAGCCTTGGATCAATGCAGTGGGTCTGTTCAGAGTTAGGGATCCGGCGGTGCGTTTTCCTCTTCTCCAGCTACCTCCTCAGCCTCTGGGAAACGACCGTTTTATTCGATTTATGAAGCATGATGAGGGAGAGGGTTTTCGTGGAGCTCAGGGTTTTCGCCAAGGATTGATTATGATGCTGGGCATCCCTTTAGATCTGCGTAACACAGATAATATCAGAGTTGCAGTCAATACTTTTGGCAAGTTCCATCATTGGAATAGTCAGGATCCTTACTTGGTCAGAACTCTTGTTTTTGCATCTTTTCCTGAAGATGCGCTTGTCCCACGGGATGTGGTTTTCAATGATACGCTGCTTGGGGTGGGGCACGTGTGTCATGGACTGCTCCTATATACATACTTGGTGCCAACTTTGCTGAACAGATGCCACATGATGAGGATTAGATGCCTATAAATGGTAACCCACACCCCCTGCCTGGTGTGCCCTTTCCTGAGCTCCCTCCTTTCATCTTGCCTCCATATTCCTGCCATCCCATGGGCTGGAATGATGTGCCACCTCCTCCTCCTGAGCAGCCAGACATGGGTGACAACAACTGGGGTAAAGTTGTTTGGGGTGAGGAAGATGAGGTTGTTCAAGATGATGTGGAAGTTGAGTAGCAATCCATGGTTCTGGACCTCTCTGATGATTTTTCTGTCTCTGTGGAGCAAAATATTCAGCCAAATTTTGTGTTAGTCTTTGATGTGGAACAACATGTTGAGCCTGTAGTTGGCCAGGAGCAACCTGTTGTTCAGGAGCCTGTTTACAACCGTGAAGACTGGGCCATGGTGGTCTATAACCCTCCTGTTCCTGCTCAAAACATTGTTCAATTTTCTACTATTGAGGAGCCTATGATTGCCAATATTGATGCAAGCAAAGTTTTCTTTGGGCCTGAGCTGCCACCAGAGATGGCTTTGAGAAGGAACTTTGAGATCTTTCTGCAATCTGACTTTAGCATTGAGCTCACCAAACCTATTGAGGTGCTGCCTATTCAGTCTATCCTGCTTTCCAAGAGAAGTTGGGACTTGGCTTTTGATGTTCCAAGGTTGACATATGAGGCACC